GTTTAAATTTTTATATATGTATTCACTCATTCTCTCTTTGACTCTCTCTTTCTCTCTTTTGTGGAGTATAAATTTCAAAACTGGATTTGGGACCTAAAATACTCCTCAGGTTGAGATACTCTTGAAGTTTTAAAATAGCTTTAGTTTTTAAAGTAAACTGGATTTGTGGACCTTAAAGTTACTGAGTTTAAACTAGAAATTGTAACATCATTACTGGACATGTCAGCATCAACCCTCTCAGAATAGCTTGGTCACTTTATGAAGGGGAGTTTAAAGTTGTTGTTTAGCAGTGACATTTAATATGGTCCAATTGCTTTTCTTTTTAACGTGACAGAAATTTTAAAAAAGAATAAGGAACAAACACTATTGCTGCCGAATGCCATAACACTGAGTTGTACAAATTGTGATTGAGGAAATGAAAAAGTTTATACTTTTTAAAAAAAAAAAAAAAAGAAAAAACAAAACTTCAAATGGAATAAATTATTCATGAAGCCTTCATTGTGGTGTCTCATTCTGTTGAAAATATTTCTATCTTAAAATGTTTCCATAATTAGGAGCAATTACTACTTTTGGGTCACTTAGGTAGAGAAGGGGCTCACCTAGACACTGATGAGTGGGCTGTTTGGGGTGGGTGGCTGTGAGGCGGGGTATTGCTGTGTGGAACAGGTTGGTCTTGAACTCACAGACATGTCCTTGCTTGTGCTTTCCAAGTGCTGGGATTAAAGGAGTTTTTTTGTTTTTTTTTTTTTTTTTTTGAAGAGAATGTTAATTCTTCTGATGTTCATTATTTATGATAAATGTGTGCGCATACGCATAGCAGCTCCTTTTTATTAATTAATTTGGTGTTAACTATTTAGCCAAAACAAACATACAGTCATACTTAGAGCTGTCCTCTGTGTGTGTGTGAGAGACAGAGAGAGAGATCACAAACATGTTTGAGACATGAAAAACATTAAATATTAAAATATTAATAATGTATCAAAAATACCTGTGTCTGAGTCCTGCAAGCAGTGGTGTAAAGTGCCTTGTTCAGATTTAAGCTAGAGATACCTCAAAATTATTGTGGTCACTTAAACTGTTTCTGCCAACAATTTCAAAAACTTCTATAAATGAAGGTGTATGGCATTGAAACTTTGTACTTCAAATTATTCCATTTCATAGTTTTCCACTGAATCATTTCTACCTTGTTATTAGTATTATATATGAGCCATACAAATTAAGCATTTTTATAAGGGAAGTATACTCATTGTTCGGACAATTGCACACATCTGTTCTGGTTTACAGTACTCTAATCCAGTGTTTACAGACTACTGTAAATTATACCTCATTGGTAGAGCACTTGTTTAGCATATGCAAGACCCTTGCCTAATCCCCAGCACTGCAACCAGTGTCCCAGAGAAACTACCGGGCAGTTTGCCTAAGGAAATGCTTGTTTTCTTTCATTTACTATATGCTTAAGGTCTTGATGCTTACTAGTAATCCTAGTTGTTTAGCATGCCTCTGTTGCTCGCCCCTAGCAAACATATATATTGGACCTGTGTGATTCATGATTCTGTTATAAGCCACGACTGAAATTGAAGAATGGTAGTTGGTTCCTTTGTTGAGACTTTTCTTTTGAAAATTTTCCTGTCATAGTTCTCCAAGTGAGTTCCTTTGAAGGAATGAATATAGAGAGTTAAAAGTGTGGGGAAGATGGTGAACATTTTCAAGGAGCAGATAACTTACTTGTGGAAGTTGTCTAGGCCCTTGATATCAGTAGCACACTGTTTATATATTTATAAATGTATTTGTTAGATTTTTGAGGTAAACTGAAATAATTTTTCTATTTGGAGTATTTATAATTTATTTTTCTTTAATTTGTTACAGATTTTTAGATTGGGTCTCATGTAGCCCAATCTGGCCTTGAACTTGCTATGTATCCAGGGGTGGTCCTGAACTCCCGACCCTCCTCCCTCCCTCATAAATACTGGGACTGTAGACATAGGTTAGCAGGCTAGGCTTGCTGGTCGATGGTGGTGCACACCTTTAATCCCAGCACTCTGGAGGCAGAGGCAGGCAGATCTCTGTGAGTTCAAGGCCAGCCTGGTCTAAAGAGCGAGTTCCAGGACAGCTAGGGCTACACAGAGAAACTTTGTCTTGAAAAGTCCCCGCCCCCTCCACCCCCCCAAAAAAAAGATACTGAAAGGTTTGGTGGTTTTTTTTTTGTTTTTTTGTTTTTTGTTTTTTTTTTTAAGATAAGGCTTCTCTGTGTGACCCTGACTGTCCTAGAACTCACTCTGTTGTTGATCAGGCTGTCCTCGAACTCACAGAGATCTCTTGCCTCTGCTTCCTGAGTGCTGGGAGTAAAGGCATGCACCATCACTACCTGGCTTTTTTGTTTTTAACAACGTAAGAAAATTTTGTTTTTAGCTCATGGTGAAAGTTTATTATTATTATTTTAAGACTGTCTCAAATGTGTGTATTACTGAGGCACTATTTTATTATTCTTGTAGTGTTCAGTGTGTTCCTGTGTATAATGTAGGATGGTGCCAATCCTGGACCAAAAATTAAAGAACTCTTGCCTATAGGTATAAACAGAAATTCGGTATAAGAATAAAGGAAATGGATTTATTGTTATGTGTATATGGGTGTGTTCAGGCTAATACATGTGTGTGGAGTTCATAGCACTTCTTTGCTTGTTGTTTCTAAGATGCTGTCTGTCCAGTTTTGTTGGAGGCACATTCTCTCTCTCTGAGCTGGTGCTCACAGCAAGCCTGCGATTCTTTTGCCTGCCTCTGCCGCTTCAGTGCTGGTACACTGTTCACCATTACATTTGGCATTTTATCATGAGCTCTGGAGTCCAACTCAGGTCTTTATGCTTGTATGGCAAGAACTTCCCTGACTGAGCTATCTCCCCAGCCCAGAAGATGTTTTTTAGTGTTCTTTGGTTTTCTTTCCAAGAATGGCCCAGTAGAACTGTATTAAAGAATTACCTGTTATATACAGAAAGGAAAAAAAAAGTAATTTAAACAGCTCTCAAAGCATGTAGTGCTTATAAACTTGTGTTCAGAATGCCCAGGTATAGTATAGGCCTTGGCTCTTTTAATTCTTTTTGTTCTGAGAAAGTCTTTATAACATGAATTATCCACAAAAATCCATCTGGTTCTCATGTTTTTTTGTCATGGAATAAGACTACCATCTGTCTGGTTGTATAGACCATAAAAATCTCTTCTTGTAGCCAATTACTAGTTGTTTACAAGGGCATGGTGATGCAGGTCTGTAATCCCAGTACACAGAAAGTGAAGGCAAGAGGATGTCGATTTGAGTCCAGTCTGGGCTATATATATATATATATATATATATATATATATATATATATATATATATATATATATATATATATATATATATATATATATATATATATGTATGTATGTATATATATATATACATATACATATATATATATACATATATATATATATATACACACACACACACACACACATAGCAAGACTGTCTCAAAAAAAAAAAAAAAACCCAAAAATAATGGCTGGGGATTGTGAATACTTAGGAAGCTAAGAAGGACATTGGGTTTGAGGCTGGCTGAGCTAAATGGCAAGATCTTTTCTGGAAAACTAAATCCCAAATAATAGTAATGATAATGGTGGTAATTGTTGGCCTTTGTTTTGCTTATCAATTGTTTATGTCTGTTGGCCTGCCTTTAGTCTAAATTACCCCTTTCCAATGCCATATCAAGTATTAAGTAAAATTACTTTATCTGGGTTCACCACTAAAATCCACTTATTTGAAACATAGTCTCAATCTCTTGTTATAACCCATGCTGACCTTTCCTCAGCCTAGTAAGTGGTAATGTTACACGCATGCACTATATATGCCTGCGTGTATGCCTGCGACATACGCTTTTGGTTCTTCAAGACAGGGTTTCTCTGTGTAGCCTTGGCTGTCCTGGAACTTGCTCTGTAGACCAAGCTGGCCTCGAACTCACAGAGATCCGAGTGGCTCTGCCTCCAGAGTGCTGGGATTAAAGGTGTGGGCCACCACCGCTCGGCTTGCACTATACTCTTAACTCGGTCCTTCTGCTCTTGGAATGGTTTTGGTGACCAAAAACCTTTTATTGGCATCTTGCTGTGAGGAAGAACACCAAGTTCTGTTTGTTTCTGTAATCTCAAAAAGAATCCTAGGTGTTCCCTCCCAGCTTTTTTAAGCATCTGAGTTCATTTCCACCTATACCGTAGATCAAGTTCCCTTGAAATACACTCTGTGCATTCTCAACACTGCTTTCCAGTTTGTACTTCGTATGATTATTTGTCTCCACCGAAAACCTCCACGAGGGCAAGAAAAGGGGTTTATTTTCTTTTTTTTTTTTTTTTTTTTTTTTTGGTTTTTCGAGACAGGGTTTCTCTGTGTAGCTTTGCGCCTTTCCTGGAACTCGCTTTGGAGACCAGGCTGGCCTCGAACTCACAGAGATCCGCCTGGCTCTGCCTCCCGAGTGCTGGGATTAAAGGCGTGCGCCACCACCGCCCGGCGGGGTTTATTTTCTTAACTGTTGTTATTGTCGGAACCCAGCTTACTTAACATTGTAGTTAGGCATTTAACTATTCTTGAGTACTTTGAACCTTTTATGATAAATCCAAGACTCACTGAAAATGTGAGTTTTTCCTGTAAATGAAGCTATATTATAGTTATTTGGAATTCTTATTTTGAAAGTTAGAAGCTTGTAAGAAACAGATGTTAAAGGTGTTAGAAAGGATTTTTAGATAGTTTCTAGTAAACATGGAAGGACAAAAAAATGTAGTACCCGGCTTTTCCTCCCTTATTCCTTCACCCACTTCGGCGAAAAGGTCAACAGGAAGGATTATAGGTTCTAAAATGTAAAACCACACAATGGAAGTCAAACTTGAGACAGCCGATGATTTACTTGAATCACTTCCTGAGTGGTTGGCAGACAGGATCCAGGAAATCTGTGGAAAACTGCAAAGTAACCAAAGAGTGGAAACTGGTGCTTTCCTTGTTTTTAATAGTTTAAGCAAAACACATACACATAAAATTAAATCAATTTAAACAGTTTTTAAAGATTTTACATAGTAGGTAACTAGTAGCAAATGAACTGTTTGAGATCATTGATTGATAGACAGCTATGGAAATGGACATGCATACAGAAGGGTGGGGATTTTTGTTGTTTTTGAGATGTTCTTGCTCCAGAGCCCCAGCTGGCATTGAACGCTGTCCTCCAGACTCTGTTTCCTGAGTGCTAAGATTGCCATCCCCCATTGAGAAAAAAAACGTCGTCTTAAGATTCTTGTATTTCTGGAACTTGATTAGTATTTCCTAACAGTACTGACCCTTTAATTAGTTTGACCATTAATTTCTTGAAGCTCACTTATGCAGAAAAGCATCTGCTACACCAGAAACTGTTTGTTTGTTTGTTTGTTTGTTTAGTCATCCAGGGGTAGGGAGAGAAAGCAAATGGAGTCAAAAGAATGCTTGCTTACTCTGGGAAAGTCTTCTGACTTAAACAGTGGTTCACCTAATCCAAGCCATCAGTAACTATGACAACCTTTGTGTACCAGTAAGGAAAAAATGTTATCAAGTAAACCATCACTACTGATTATAAAGCAGCCCAATTCAGGGATGTTAACATTTGAAAAAAATGTCATCACAAAGTTGATGAAATACCTATGTGGTTGGACATGGCAATGGGCTTTTTACGACAATAGTCATTAAAAGGTTATTTCTTCGAACTTGTGAGATTGTCCTGTGATAATCAAATTTGTGATAATTAAAAGTGTAATTTAGAGGCAGCTAGACCTAGTGCTACTTTGAAGGCTTATTTAATATTTGTGAAGATAATCTGTCTAAACATCTGAGGTATGAGGTGTTTTACAAACTGACTTAAAAAAGCTGACAAGTTTAAGGAGTTAAACTGAGGAGACAGGGTTAAAACTCCAGTTGTGGCCAAATTCTGTATGATTATCCAAATAGTTTAATTGGCAAGCATTGTGCCTCTGATTTGAAGGACTATTACCAAGCAGTTAAGGAGCAAGGGAGTGCAGTCTTACAGGGCCTTCACATTCTGGCTTAAGAATTCAAGCTATGCTCACAGGGACTGGAAGGAAAATGAGGCAAGGGTTGAGATAGGTGTGTTTCCGCACTCACTCATTCGGGCTGGGTTGATTTTCGGTTCTGTAACTTGAGGTGAAGACTGTATCTTCATGCTACTGTTGTGTGATATTTTGTGTTCTGACAAATAAAGCTTGCCTGGAGATCAGAGGGTGGAGCTAGCCATTAGTTAACTGTAGAGGCCAGGCCATGAGTGGTGACACACCTTCAATCCCAGCACTTGGGAGGAGGAAGCAGGAAGATCAAGAGTTCAAGGCCAACCTGGGCTACAGGAGATTTAACCAGTTTAAAAGAGAAACAGCTGGTTGGTGGTGGCACATGCCTTTAATTCCAGCACTAGAGACAGGAATATAAGGCAGGTGGAAAGAGGATTTGTATTGATTCACCCATTCAGTTTGAGGATTCATAGAGACAAGGCCGGCCCTTTCAGTCTGAGCATTCCATAGAAGTAAGAAGTTACTGTGGGTTGCTCTGCTTCTCTGATGCTACAGGCAAGCTTTATTTATCAGAACACAAAACAATGTTACCTATCTGTTAGTGACCGTGAGCTCAGAGACAATTAGAGTTAGATCACGTAGTTCCTGGCCATCCTCATTAGTCCCTCAAACCAATGCTTGGATCCTCTTTCCCTTTTTTTCTGTGAAAGGAACACCCAGGAAGGTTAAATTGCTTATTATCTCAGTCTTTGTTTCCTTTTTTTTTTTTTTGAAGGGGGGAGGGATAGTCACTATGTACCTCAGATGGCCTCCAACTTTTAATCTTTTGCTTCAGCCTCCCATGTGCTCAGATTCCAAATAAATAGTGTTCTCTCTTTACTCCCTCCCTGCTTTCTCCAGTGTCTCTTATGTGGCTGATCCCAAACTCACAGAGATCCGCCTGCCTCTGCCTTCTGAATGTTGGGATTAAAGGTGTTCGCCACAATGTCAGGCCAATAATTGTATACTCTGTAACCCATTAACACTTGTGAAATTGCTTTCAATTATATAGTGACTAGCCAAATTTTTAAAAAGGATATAGAAGCCAGGCAGTGGTGGCCCATGCCTTTAATCCCAGCACTTGGGAGGCAGAGGCAGGCAGATCTCTGTGAGTTCAAGGCCAGCCTGGTCTATAGAGCGAGATCCAAGACAGACACCAAAACTACACAGAGAAACCCTGTCTCAAAAAAATAAAATAAAATAAATAAATAAAATGAAGCTGGGCGGTGGTGGCGCATGCCTTTAATTTCAGCACGTGGGAAGCAGAGCCAGGAGGATCTCTGTGAGTTCCAGGCCAGCCTGGGCTACCAAGTGAGTTCCAGGAAAGGCGCAAAGCTACACAGAGAAACCCTGTCTCAAAAAAAACAAAATAAATAAATAAATAAATAAAATGATAAAAGGGATATAGAATTGGGCCTGATGATATACATCTGTAATTCCAAGAACTGGGACGCTGAGGTAGGAAGATCCTGACTGTTATGGCTTCATATATAAATAGACCCTGTCTCAGTGCCAACCTCCCAATAATAGGATATATAGCAAGTACTATGTATTTAGTAAGACATTTGTTACCATCTTGTGAGCATGTGTCTGTGGCATATAATTGTATATGCTTTATACATTTATATGTTACAGATAATTGTGCATGTTTTGGTTCACAGTACTAAAGGCATTACTCTAATCAAGTGGAGAATTTTGAGAAATACTATCAATACTATCACATCTTAGTTCTTTCATTCCTTTGGTAATCGTCTACCCTGAAAGTTCATTTTATTTTTCAGAGGCTGTCCCTCTATTAGAGACTTAGAAATACTTAGAATTTTTTTTTTTTTTTAAAGAAATGATCACTCTAGTGATGCTCTATTCTTTTTGGTTTTTCGCAGGCAAGCACGCCTTGTAGAGGCCAGAAGAAGGTGTCAGATCCCTTGGATCTGGAGTTATGGTGGCTATGAAACACCAGATATAGGTGCTGAGAACTGAACTCGAGTCCTCTGAAGAGCCCCACAATTTTTTTTTTTTGTTACATCACCGTGACCCTCCTTATAGCAAAAGGGAAAGGTACAAAAGGCATTAGAACAATGACATGGTTTGTTTATGGGAGTATTTAAAAATAAAATATTATCATAATAAAGGCAGAAAGATCCTAAAGGTGATTGAAAAAGTTCATTTTTAAAGAGAAAGGGGAAATTAGGGCAAAGTCAGTCCGGGTGGAAAGCCGTTCCTTTCAGTGGGAGAACTGCCTACGGTCTGTGGTCTTCCTGCTGATGTGTTTAAAGATCTTGGACTTCTCCACTTTCTTTGTTTTCTGGTAGCTGAATCCACCACCACCTCCTCTCTTTTTAAGCTTGCCATCATGGCTGCTCACATTCAGATCCACGAAAGGAGGAACCTTAAAACCAAAAGACAGAGCGACCTGAGTCAAATTTAAGTTGTTCACATTAAAGATTTGCTTGAGGGAGTGTGAGTCATACGCTTGAATGTAGGACTTGTATGCTTCCTGTGCAGACTTATGGAGAAAGTAGTTCTTTTCAATCAGCTTTTCCAGCTGAGACTGAATATCAGAAACTTTAGACCAGGAAAAGTCAAACTGATTCAATGGAACCTTGGATTGCTTCAGGTAACCAAGGAAACCCAACTCTTCAGGGCGTAGGATGAGCAGGGCGTGCCCTCTCCCATTCAGGCCCCTGGCCATTCTACCCACAGGATGAATGTATTCCTTGGGGTCATCGGGAGGGTCATACTGAACAATCCAGTCCACTTCCGGGATGTCCAGCCCCCTGGCGGCCACATCTGTGCACAGCAGTATCCCTGAATCTGCATTGCAGAACTGGAAGAACGTGGTTGTTCACTTATTCTGCTTTTGCCTTCCATGGATGGCCAACACAGGCAGGTCAATGTAGTTCAGTAGCTCATAGTGGTACTTCACAGACATACACGATGAAAAGAAGACCATCACTTTCTTCTTCCAGTTCTTCTTAAGGAATGTGAAGAGCAGAAGGAATCTCTTCTCAGAGGGACACACAACATATCCCTGCTCAAGCCCATCCACTGTGGCAACCTCTTTATCGTCATCACCCACATACAATGGCTCTTTTTTCAGAGAAATTCTTGCCAAGTCTTCAACTTTTTGAGTTTGTGTGGCAGAAAAGAGCATGGTTTGCCTGCGTACTGGCAAAAGTTTAATAATTTGCTTTAATTCTTCCTCAAACCCAACATCCAAGATTCGATCAGCCTCATCAATAACCAGACACTGGAGGTTCTTGTACATAAACCCTGGAGTATTCTGCATGTGGTCTAGGAGCCGGCCTGAGGTGGCCACGATGATGTTGATGCCATTGACGAGCTTCTGCGCTTCAGCAGACCTGTTACTGCCACCCATGATTAGCCCATACGTGTGAACATGGTGCGTCATCAGTTCCTTCAGAACACCGAAGGTCTGCATGGCCAGTTCTCTGGTAGGGGAGAGAATCAGGACTCCTGTTCCATTCCTGGGCATGAACTTCAACTTGACAATGAGCTCGATCAAAGGGACGAGGAAAGCAAGGGTTTTGCCGCTGCCTGTTTTCGCAGCTGCCAGAAGATCCCTGCCTTCCAGAAGTGGCCTGATACTTTTATGTTGGATCTCGGTCATGCGCTTGAAGCCCATTTCTTCTATAGCCTTCAGAGTGTTTTCATTGACGAGGTTCGACAAGGAAGCAAATGAAGTGTCTTCAAAAGCACCTGTCAGTCCGAGGGGCAGGCTGGAGCCCCACAATTTTTATAAGATACTTTAGGGGCATGAAAAACAGCTCAATGTCATGTGCTGGTTGCTGGGTCTTACATCCTGAATTCAAGCCCCAGGACACACATGGTGGAAGGAGGAAACTATCTTCCGTTCTGTAAATTGTTTTCTGACCTTCACATGCAAACACATACATCTCTCTCCTTCCCTCCCCTCTCTCTGTGTGTGAATCTATATACTTTTGTTAAAGAATTTTTTATTGCTTATCCCTAGCACATTACTTGAAACTGAAAGTAACATACACTTTGGCTGAACCAGGAACAAGAAACATGAGCTGGTCATGGTGGCATAATCCTGTAATCCCAAAATGGGGGAATTTCCTGACCAGTCTGAGCTACATAGTGAGGCTCCATCTCGTTTTTTTTTTTCATTTTTATTTATTTATTTTTCTATTATCAGCTTGATACAGTTCAAATTCTTATCCTAATAGTGAAATGTTTCACTGAGGCTTGAGTAAAACCAAAACTTATTATAAGCCACAGTCATCCTAGGGTCCCCCCTGTTATGTAGCTTCCCTGATTCTGTGGGTTGCAGTCTGATTGTTCTTTGCTTTATATCTAGTATCCACTTACGAGTACATACCATGTTTGTCCTTCTGGGTTCAGGTTACCTCACTCAGGATGATATTTTCTAGTTCCATCCATTTGCCTGCAAATTTCATGCTGTCATTGTTTTCCTCTGCTGAGTAGTACTCCATTGTGTATATGTACCACATTTTCTTAATCCATTCTTCAGTTGACGGGCATCTAGGTTGTAGAAACATTTAATATGAGATATATAGACTTGTAATTTTCAAGGCGTTGCGACTTTTTAGAAGTTGATGAAAGTTTTTTACTTTCTTTTGTGAAATGCCAAACAGCCTCTTTAGAAGATTCCAGTGAATTCCTAAAATCCACACTCCTGAAAGGATTTTTGTAGCCTAAAGAACCGAGAAAGCCATGGAGGCTCTAACACCAGCATTTGGGAGACGGGGATTGTGACAAGGTTCAGGTCAGCCTTGCCTACATAATTATCTTCATGACTACATAGAACATGTCTGAAAAACAAAATAAATCCCAAATACAAGCAAGAAATGGTGGCACGCGCTTATAATTTGGGGTACACATCACAAAACAAAACAATGAAAAGCCCCAAAGCAAATTATACTTTGGCCATTAGTGTGTAGGCATGCATCACATTACTTTAAAAATTCTCCTGTACAGAGGTCCTGGATTCTAGAACTTTGGTGCGGAGATGGCACCGGCAGGGTTTTGAAGGAGGATACATTCAAGTTCCATTAGCAACTTTCGGTGGAGGAACGGAAGGAACAACCTTTACCATTCCTTCTTACATAGACTATTGTTATTTAAATGTCGCGATAATCCCAGCGGGGAATTTTGCTCTGACGGTTTAGCGACGACTCTGATGGGTCCCAAGGGGAAAGCTCAGGCAGAGGAACGAGTAAAAGCAACACTCCACATTTTCGGAAGCACGGAGCACCGCGAAGGAGGAAGGGGAGGGGCCGCGCACGCGCAGCGCGGTCCCAGCGCCTCAAGCTGGTTTTTCTCTAGCCGCCGACGTCCTCTCAGTGCTGTACGGTGGCCGGCGCGGGCAGACGCTGGCGATGAATGGAGGTGCAGGGTGCAGGTTGAAATAAGTCTTCTCTGCTTTCCCCTCTTTCCCCGCCGTTTCTGCCTCCCCCCCCCTTTTTTTGTGCCGTGTCCCCATTCTCACCCCGGCTCTGTCGACGACCCGGTTGGTCCCAGCGTCTGAGTTCTTGGTGACTGAGTCGACCCCGGGCACAGCCGGGGTTTGGGGATCCGGATAATCGCCTAGGCCCAACTTCGGACCGCGCTCTCGATTTCTGCCTCGCCCGGCGCTCGGACGCGGAATCTGAGTGGGTCTCTTGAGACTGGAGGGTAGATCTTAAGGTATGAAGCGTCGGCTTCTCGGGCCCAAGTGCCGCTTTGTCTGAAGTACGCCTGACTCTTCTTCGCTCGGGGCACTCGGTTCTCATTGCTACCGGACAGAGACCCCTGAGCACACAGGTCTTGTCACCTCTGCCTCGAGCTCACTCTGCTGTTAAAAGACCGGCGCTTACTATTGAAAACAGCAACATTTCTGTCCACGACTCTTTACCCACATCTCTGTTAGTGAGTGGGTCTTAAGGCCGGGTGGCTTCTGCTCTCTGTTCAGTGTCATCTCTTTTTTGCCGCCTTTTAAACATTTACTCAAGATCCACAAGTGTCCAAGTGAGAGTCTTTTTCATCCCTCAGCGGATTGTGCCTACGCATCTGTTCTATACCTCCCCTATGATATAAGGGATACAGGATAGCGTTGTGACTTTCAGAACCTTGACTCTGACATTGCTTTTGGCCCATGAGATGATTTACCAGTGTCTCCATCTAGTTGGGAGGTGGAAAGGGAAGCTCAACTGATATACAAGGTGCGCTTGTGAAACTGCGGCCATTCATTTTCTCTCCATATTTCATGGAGCTCATCCAAGTGGCATAATGAGGAAAGTCTTGGACTGGTGTTTAGTATAGAAGGGTTCAGCCTGGAATTTTTCCACCAAGTAGTGATATTACTGTTACTTCATTCTCTGGAGCTCATGCTGTATTTATAAAACAGAGTATTAGGGCAAAGGATCCCTAAATTTGGAAGAGACTTTAGTCTGCAGCTTTTCTTCTCATATTCCAGATGTCAGTAGAAACAGGGAGACAGGGAAACGTGGTCTTTAATTGTGCCAGCCACATTGTCAACACAGGGACCTACTAAATGTCTCCCCCTCGTTTTCAGATTTTTAAGAAGGGTTGTCATATGTGTGGGAATTAGATCCCTGCCTTCATTTTGTTGTTTTTGACTCATTAGGATCAAGAGTGATGATGACCGAGTGTACAAGCCTTCAATTTGTCAGCCCCTTTGCTTTTGAAGCCATGCAGAAGGTGGATGTTGTTCGCCTGGCGTCTTTAAGTGATCCAGAACTGAGACTTCTCTTGCCCTGCTTGGTGAGGATGGCACTCTGTGCTCCTGCTGACCAGAGTCAGAGCTGGGCTCAGGATAAAAAACTTATTCTTCGCCTTCTGTCTGGAGTGGAAGCTGTCAACTCCATTGTCGCACTGTTGTCCGTGGACTTTCATGCCCTAGAGCAAGATGCCAGCAAAGAACAACAGCTTCGGTACAGTTGCATTCTGTGTGGCCTGGGGTTTACTTGATACTCCACAGGAGGAATCACGCGGTGCTCAGAGCTGTCAGGGCTCCAGAGAAGAGAGAGTGAAAACTTAAACTGGGAGAACATTCTCCAGAGGGCTCTTCTGTTTATAGTTAAAATTCTAAGAGCTTTCTGTGTTATCAGATGTTACCTAGAGAGGATTAGCTACATAGTAGGTCAGTTACCCATAGTGGGAAGTGAGTAGGATAACGTCTAGGATGGAAGGTTTTATTGGAATCACCGAGCTGTTTAAGATTACAATTGATTCTCTGAGACTCCTGGCTGGTGTTAAATCCTTTCCGGCCCATCATGTATCTGTTAGTGAGGCTTTGTTACAGAAGTCAGTGGCCGTTGTTAGTTTACAGTTCGTGAGCTCTTGGAATACATAGACAAACTAAGTAGTTGAGAGGAAGTGGAAGCTGTTAGAATGACTCCATTACCCTGTATTACCACAGCAGTAACAGGTGCTGATCACCAGTGTTGTGACTTCTTTTCCGTGTTTGCACTTCACTAGGCATAAGCTCGGAGGAGGCAGTGGAGAGAGCATCCTGGTATCACAGCTCCAGCATGGACTGACACTAGAATTTGAACACAGTGATTCACCTCGTCGATTGCGGCTCGTGCTTAGTGAACTGTTGGCAATTATGAACAAGGTGGTTAAAAAAAAATCCTCAGCCCAAAGTATTTATGATCTGATATCTACATCTAGAAAATAGTAAAAAAAAATAGAAGCAAGAATGCAGACGGGTTATGTGTTCTGCTAGTATTTCTGTTTGGTTTGTGTTCTTTCAAAGATGGAAGTGATTTTTTTTTTCCTCCCAGAGACAGAGTTTCTCTTTGTAGCCCTGTCTGTCCTGGAACTCGCTCTGTAGACAGGCTGGCCTCGAATTCACAGAGATCTACCTGCCTTTGCCTCCTGAGTGAGATTAAAGGCATGTGCCACCACTGCCTTTAATGATTTAAAAGCATGTGTTAAAGGCAGTTGTCTTTATCTAATTACTATTTTCTTGCATTCATGGCCATTTTGCAGTATTTATTTATTTATTTGTTTGTTTGTTTGTTTATTTTTTGGCTTTTTGAGACAGAGTCTTTCTACATGGCCCTGGCTATCCTGGAACTCACGCAGACCAGGCTGGCTTCGAACTCACAGAGTTTGCCTGCCTCTGCCTGTTGAGTGCTGGGATTAAGGGTGTGTACCACCATGCCCAGGTATTCTGTATTCATCATCATCAGTATTTTTTATGTGTATGGAATTTATATAATGGGTTCTTAATATCTTTAAAATAATTTTTAAGTTTTATTTTATATGTATGAATGTTTTGCTTGATTATATGTCTGTGCACTATATGAAGGCCTGGTGCCTGCAGAGTTCGGAAGACAGCATAGGATTTCTTATGAACAGACTGGAGTTATTGATTGTGAGCCACATTGTACGTGCTGGGGACCAAACTTGGATTCTTTGCAAGAGTAACGGGTGCTCTTAACCAGCTGGGCTGTTCCATCGCTTCAGCCACTAACATCTGTTCAAAGAATTGAACTTGTGTAAACTACTAAGTTTGTTAATACTTTTTTTGTTGGTTTGTTTTGTTTTTTGCTTATCCATTATAGGATAAAATATCTCCCATAAAATATTGTAAAGTGTGACTTAAAAATGTGTTCAATTCATCTAGATACTGGTATTAAATGCCTCCTGTGACATGGAGTGAGGAGTATCAAAGCTGAACTAGATACAGGATGATGGATTAGCTTGCTTCACCCACTAGACTGTCTAATTGTCTGTAATGGAGACTATCCAAAGTTCTTTCTGGGCTGGGGAGATGGCTCAAGTGGGTAAAATCTTTGCTGAGCAGATGTGAGGACTTGACTTGGAGTCTCTGGAACCTATACACACCATGTGAGGCAGTACATACCATGTGAGGCAGTGCACACCGTGTGAGGCGGTGTACATCTGTCATCCCAGTGGACTGTCATGAGGTGAGAGACAGGAGAATCCATGGGCACTCAATTGCCAAGGAGCCTGGTGTACACACCAAGCAACAGAAAGAGGGGCCCCTTTGGGTTGGAGAGATGGCTTATCAGTTAAGAGTACTAACTGTTCTTACAGGGGATCCAAGTTCGATTCCCAGCCTCCACATGGCAGCTTACAATTGTCCATAGCTCACACAGGTGGTGTATAGACGTATACAGGGAAAACACCAATACACATAAAATAAATTTGAGAGAGAGAGAGACCTTGTCTCAAGCAAGGTGGAAGTTGAGAACTAATACTGGATATTGTCCTCTAATCTCCATTCACATGAATGCATACACATACATCATACACAAGTATACACACAGAAGAAAGTTATAGGTTACTTTAAGTCATGGACCTTTGGCTAATTATGGTTACCTGAAACTTTCCCACTCTCTGTGATTTTCCTACATCTTATAAATACATGGTGGCCCTTATAAGAGACCTTTTCTTCTGTAGGGTTTTTAATGCCCAACATGGTGGTGTTATTATGTGGGAAATATGATGACATATTGCCATAGGGAGTTTAAGGAAGATAGTGGATATTTTCTTCATCTTTTTTTTTGGTTCCCTCTGTCAAATTTTTTTTTTTAAGATTTTATTTATTATGTTATGTATACAGTATTCTGCCTATATGTGTCCCTGCAGGCCAGAAGAGGGCACCAGATCTCATTACAGGTGGTTGTGAGCCACCATGTGGTTGCTGGGAATTGAACTCAGGACCTCCGGAAGAGCAGTCAGTGCTCTTAACCACTGAGCCATCTCTCCAGCCCCTCCCCCCCCCTTTTTTGAGACAGAGCTCCTTATTTGCTTAGGATGACATCAAACTTCTGATCTTCCTGTCTCAGCTTTCTGTGTGCTAGGGTTGCTGACCTGTACCACTTTTCCAGGCTCCAGGTGTCAGTCTTTGTGTTATTTTACTTTTCTCTGTTGGTCATTAGAATGAAATGAATTTGTATTTGTTATACTGCTTTAAACTTACAATTTAAAAAAATGATTGTTTTTTTATTGTGTGTGGATGTATAGGCTGGCACACTCATCGAAGTCAGAGGCTAACTTTTCAGGGGTTCTCTCTCTGTTTCTCCTATGGCTTCTGGGAATCATATGCAGGACATGAAGTCTGGGCAAGGGCTTTTACCTGCTGAGCCATCTTGCAGCTTAGATTTTTTTTTTTTTTTTTTTTTTTCAGGACAGAGTTTCTCTGTGTAGCCCTGTCTGTCCTGGAACTTACTGTGTAGAACAGGCTGGCCTTGAACTCACAGAGATCCAACTGCCTCTGCTTCCTGAGTGCTGGGATTAAAGGTGTCTGCCACCAACACTTGGCTCAGTTTTGGGTTTTTTAGTCAACAACTTATATGGATAACATTCCTACATTGCTTCTTGGCTTGCCTTATCCTTCAATTTCAAGTATCTCTAAAAATGTAGATTGGAATAACTTCTCCCCACCCTTCCTCCTTTTTTGGGGAGGGGACAGAGTTGCACTAGGTGCCAGGGTGGCCTTGGAACTTGAGATTCATCTACCTCAGCTTCTCAAATGGTGGGATTATAAGATGCAACCAGTGTGCAGTTCCTGAGACTAATGCTGCCATGTCTGAGTAATAGTCATGGTTATTCGGCTTAAAATTGAGAGGGTCCCACACACTTTGCTGCAGTGTACTGGTTGTGTTGAAAGTGATGACTTGAGGCTGGCTGTGCTGGATCACACCTTCAGTCCCAGCGCTGGAGAAGCAGGGACAAGATCAGGAGTTTCATACCATCTTAGGCCAGTAGATTAAAGTCTGGTCTGGTCTATGTACTGAGTTCAGGCCAGCCACAGCTACATGGTGAGACCCTACCTCAAACAATCACAGCATAAACTTAAAATTTGTGAGCTCAAAAACAAAAATATTAAAAATTCTTTGAAATTAATAGTTCTTGCCTTCTTTTTTTTCCTCTTTTCTCTAAGGTATCTGAGTCCAATGGAGAGTTCTTTTTCAAGTCTTCTGAGCTCTTTGAGAGTCCAGTGTACTTGGAGGAAGCTGCAGATGTTCTCTGTATCTTACAAGCAGGTACTTTACTGACTGGGTGTCAGGACACATTTCAGATAGAGTGTCGAGTGCAGTGTTACTGTGTGACTCCTTAGCTCGCCTGCAATGCTAGATGTGTGTCTGTGGGTGTCACTGGATGTCCTGAAACTGGAGGTGTAGGCAGTTAGGAGCTGCCTGATGTGGATGCAGGGACTCAGGCCTCTTGCAAGAGCAGCATCTTCTCTCCAGCCCCAAATTTGGTATTTAAGGATTATCAAAACTGGGTGGGGTCTAGCATGTGGGAGGCTGAGACAGGAGTATTGTGACAAAATCCAGACCACTTGGGGTATGGAGTGAGATCATGTTTCAAATAACACCCTCCATACACACACCAAAACAGAAACCTTAAAAATGTAAAAGTTATTTACTAAAAATAAGTCTTAAAATTTTAAGTTAAAGGGCTGGAGAAATGGTTCAGTGGTTAAGAGCACTTGATGCTCTGCCAGAGGACCTTAGTTTGGTTCAGGTGACTCACAACTGCCTATAGTTCCAGCTCCTTGGGATCTAGCAGCCTCGAATAGACACACCCACATAATACACATACCTTAAATTTTTTTTTTTTTTTTTTGAGACAGGGTTTCTCTGTGTAGCTTTGGAGCCTTTCTTGGAACTCACTCTGTAGCTAGCTCAAGCTGGCCTCAAACTCACAGTGATCCACCTGCCTCTGCCTCCCGAGTGCTGGGATTAAAGGCGTGCGCCACCACTGCCCGACTTAATTTTTTTTAAGAATTAATTTATGCCTGACGTGGTGGCGCACGCCTTTAATTCCAGCACTCGGGAGGCAGAGGTAGGCAGATCTCTGTGAGTTCAAGGCCAACCTGGTCTACAGAGGGAGTTCCAGAGCAGCCAAGACTATACAGAGAAACCTTGTCTTGGGAGAAAAAAAAGTTTAAATTAAACGTGACTAGTATTAGAACAAAGACCAGTGACTTAGACTATTTATAGAGTATGCCATATCATGTACACATTACCTTTGTATATTTGATTTAATGATTTATAATTTTAGTGATTTTAAAATGTTCATAATGTGTTAGATCAAAAAGCAAAGGGCAGAGGGAGTAAATATAATCTCAGTTTTACTTAATGTTAAAATTATCAATTGAGAGGATTAGAATTAAATATTAAATATTTTTAATATTATAAATATATTAAATACATATAAATAGGATTAGAGGTAACATACATTTCTTTTTCTTTGTATCTTTTTTTGCTTTTCTAGATTCCTTTTAATAGGTGTATATGATAAAATAAAAACAAGAAGATATAGAAGTGTAAAGATTTTATGAAAATGCTTTCTTAGACCAGTGCTATTTAGGGAAACTTCTGCCACATTCTGCATTGTATTGTCCACCTAGTAGCCTCTGCCTTGCCTCATGTGGCTGTAGGTTAACTGAAGTTAGCTAATGTGACTAAGGAACTAGTACTTTATTAGTACTAGTGAGTTGCATTTTGGTGACATCTTTGAAATGGCAGCTGTTGAGCAGATAACACTTAGGGTCATGCCTCAGTAGTGACGGTGGCCTTTTGTCTTCCAGAGCTCCCTTCCTTGCTTCCGGTAGTCGATGTAGCCGAAGCCTTGCTACATGTTAGAAATGGTGCCTGGTTCTTATGTCTCTTGGTAGCCAATGTTCCCGATAGTTTTAATGAAGGTAAATATAATTTAAAAATGAAATATTGGAGAACTGTGCTTTGATTTGTTTAGGGTGGTTTTTTTTTTTTTTTTTTTTTTTTTTTTTTTTTTTTTTAAAGACAGAGTCTTGCTCTGTTTTCTGGGCTGTCCTTGAACTTGTGATTCTTTTGCCTCTGCCTTCTGAGTGGTGCTGGCTGCATGGCTCCGTATTTAGCGCTGTGTCCCCTCCCTTCTGTTCTGGTTTGGAACCCAGTGACTAACATGCTAGGCAAGTAGTCTGCCTCTGAGCTACACCCCAGACCAGTCTGGCTTTTAATTGAAGAGTCTACGTAATTTATGTAAACCATTTAATATAATTATTGTGGTAATTAGTATGTCTTGTTACTTTTATCTCTTTCTTCCTTTGTATTATTTTTTAATTTAATTCATGAGTGTTATAAGTCCCAGAGTATATTCTTGCTGCTTTTATTTTAAGTAGTTAATTCTTTTTTCTTCTGATTGTGCGCGCGCGCGCGCGCGCGCGTGTGTGTGTGTGTGTGTGTGTGTGTGTGTGTGTGTGTGTGTGTAGATCAGAGGACAACTTCCACGAGTAGGCACTGTCAGAATTGAACTCAGTTGTAAGTCTTGGTGGCAAGCACCTTGACTTGCTCAGCCACTTTAGCAGCCCTCTTTTCTGATTTTTGTGACAGGGTCTCACTGTTGCAGCCTGGGTGACCTTGAACTTTAAGTAGCCTACCTCTTCTTTCCAGTACTGGCATTATAGGTGTGTGCTGCCATGGCCAACTGACTTTAAAGTCCTTTTTAAAACATGGAGAAAAGCAGGTGGATCTCTGTGAGTTCGAGGCCAGCCTGGGCTACCAAGTGAGTTCCAGGAGAGGCGCAAAGCTACACAGAGAAACCCTGTCTCGAAAAACCAAAAAAAAAAAAAACATGGAGAAAAGGCTTTATCTACAGAGATAGTATTTTTGGTGTTCTTCATTGAATTGCCTTAATTTCATGTAGTGTAGAGTATTTAAATTTATTTTTTATTTATGTGTGTTTGGGATTGAACCCAGAGCTATTTGCTTTGTCAGTGAGCTATGCCTTTAGCTTTGAAGGGTAGATTCTCGGCAGTAGTTTTCCCCAGTCACCTTTTATTTTCAGCACTGGGGACTGACCGCAGGCCTTGCACTGTCTCGCCACTGTTGTGACCCCCCACTCCCGCCTCTTTTCTCTTTCTCATTT